CATCAGAAGACTTTCAAACATCAATGTGGCAAATTACATTAGTTTTTTTCTGGACATCAACTGAGTCATAATTGATTGCATATTAAAACAATGTATCTATATATGTAGTTCATTATTAATATGTTTCCAGAATTTAGTATGTTTCTGGAATCAGTATGCTAATATTTTGTTTAGAATTATTGCATCTAAAGTGACACTGGCTTACAATTTTTCTTTTTCATACTGTCATTGAATTTTAGTCAATAAAATTATGATAGTCTCATGAATTGCAGAGTTTACACTCTCTTATTTGAGTTTGTGAAAACCAGTATTATTTCATTCTTAAGTGTGTTATTTAACTCAATGGTGCAAGCCATATAGAACTGCAGAGTTTTTGTAGAAAGAGTTTTAATTGCTAATTCAGTTTGATAGCTCTAGGGTTCTTACTTTCATATTTTTCTTGTGTGGTTCTGCTAAGTTGAACTTTTCTAACAGTGTTTGTATTTCAACATTTTCAAATTTTTGACAAAATTATTCTTAATATTTTTTCAACATCTGTAGGATTTGTAGTGATGGCCATTTCTTTCTTGGCATCATGTATTTCTTTCTCTTTTATTCTTAACTAGTCTCACCAACTTTATAAATATTAGTCCATTCTGGGAAAAAAAAATCTTTTATTTCTATTGATCCTGTTATATGCTTTTGTGTTCTATGCATTTAAGTGCTTGTTTTTCATATTTTTTTCAGGTTTGTATTGTTCCTCATCAAACTCCTTAAGATGGATGCTTTGTCTTTAATTCTCAGCTTCTTTATTTTCTAATATATACATTTAAAGCTATAACTAGTACTAACTTTAATAAATACTGCTTTAGCCTTATCCAACCAGATCTGTAGTTTTTTCATTTCAAAAGAAGATACACACACACAGAGAAATGCTTGCTAATATGAAAATAGACCCATTTTATGATGGATAATAGAATTTTTATGTAAAGTTAAGAAAACAATGCAGTTTTGTATGGATTATTCCTAACCTTTGTAAGAAAGAGGAGTGAAAGTGGTGAGATCTTTTACAGTGAAGCAAATTGTCAGTCTCATAACCAATTATTCTCATTCAACACTATAAATAGGTAATTTGTATTTGAAAAGTCACGAAAATAAAAATTTTTCCATATATTCTAATTTACCCATAGCAACATGATTGGAAAATTAAATAAGAAAAACCATTCATGAGCATCAGTGACTTAAATAAGGGCAGGGACTATGAGAAGGGAGCAGAAGTATCCACAGGAAGGCTCACGGCAATTTTAACGTGTTTTTATTTGCTCACTTAACATTCCAAACAAAATGACATTTTACACTATTGCTTTTATACTTAAGAAGTCAACAGTTTTATTCAAAGTAGACAAAAAACAAATCCTTTAAGTGTCCAGCGGGTACATTTTCCCCCAGAGAACGCTACTGCTTAAATATTTTTTGAATCCTTTAACAGAAATATAAAATTGTCCTGTAACGTAGTAGTAGAATCTTATCTGCACTACATTTAAATTTTTTTCTCATTAAAAGCTAAAGACAGAAAAAATAAACCTCATGAGTCCTCTCAGATTTCTAACAGTTCCACTAATCTCTATTAAACACATGCTTGTGTGGACAGATTCATAAGTATGAAAATGGAAATTAAGCCTCCCCACATTGTTTGTAGACAAAGGGTGGAGCAATTATCCTGAGAAAATAGCTGCTGGTCCCCAGTCATTATTTATAGAAGTATAATAAGCATTATTACCCTCCAAGTCAAACCTCCTGTCTTCTGTGTTATGATAATGGGTAATGTTTTCAGTTTGGGCAATGCGATGCATTTTTCACATTCGTGTGATGCTTCTCCTTTGAGCAAATCTTCGACCAAGTTTTATCTCACTGAATGTTCTCAAAAAGGAGAAACAGTGCATGAACAATTATGAATGCTGGAATAAAAACGAAGAGTGCATAATTTTCACATAGAAAAATACATACAAATCCAAGTAGCTTCTAAAATAGAAAAAAAAATCAAGATGGGCATTTTTAAGAAAAAGATTCTGTTTTCTACATTGTTAATGGTGCCAGTAAGACACTGGTTTTCATATCTAGCTATATCACCACATTTATATACAAAGAGAAGTTGGTAAAGGTTCACTGATATCCCCTGATCTCTCCCATTTCTCTAAAGATTGTCTTCCAGACCATATTAAAACCATAACTGTTAAAAAGTTAGACTATGTTTGTCACTGACACACTCCCTTCAACCTGATACACACAAAAATGCATCTCAACACTGATTCACTTTTTTTTTTAATGCTAAAACCAACAATTTTCCTGCTACTTCAATGCCACAACATTCTATTGCTACTTTGGCATTTTGCTAATTATTACAGAAACAGGTAAGATTCCTACAGATTTTAAGACATAAAATTCTAACATATATATGCTGAAAGTAAGGGAAAATAGGAAGGCAGACACAACTATCATATTTTTCTTTTCATGTATATCACTATCACTCATAAGTTAGTTAGAAGGCTCATGTGACATTCTAATTTACAACTGACACGGGTGACATTTTGCTTGGCTTCCAGACTATCAAACTGTAGAATTTTTGGTAGCTCTTAGATCAACTGGCTACAGAACTATCTGAAACAGTTACTATTTTAAGCAAAAACAGAATGAAATCTATACAAACAAAAGTAGATTTAAATAACATACTATTGAGTAAACTTCATAAATTTTTCTTAACGTCATCAGAGTTGTTTTCTCCCTAGAAGGGAAAAAAATCATTACTTAAAGTTTTCCCCTTCCATACCTCAAGCACTATTTCATTAAGTATTTAAACCGACAAAGGTTTAAATCAGTTCAAGGTCTCAGTTGTTGAAAGATCAAGATATAGAGATAAGTGTTTTCTGCACAAAAGATGAAAGACTAACTGAATTGCTTTTCATGTAATACTTATCACCTCAATCAATGAGTTTTAATGGTTAACACCTGATCCTTGGCGGGATTTTGCTACACATCACAAAACTGTAGCAGGACGATACAGCATGCAAATATTTTTTAAAAATTAAGCAAAGATATTCCTGAGGTTGAAAAATACCTTGTAAGAAACCAATTTTTAAATTCCTGTAATACTGAAAGTTGCCACCGTGATATAAAGTGAACCCAATTTTAAAAATAATTTCATCTTATTGAGAAAATAATTTCAGTACATTCAATTTTAATGTATGTGCCCATTGACTATAATTGTCATTTTTCTTTTTGACAAGTTTGAAAACAGAAGTCTGTCAACAGACGAGCAAATAATTGAAAAGTTTTGGGTCGTGTTCTATCACACACAAGCCAGTCCTCAACCACTTGATATAGACCACACTGAAAACTATGCTAAATATCTTGTTTTAGATCAAATCCTGTCTTTTGTCTTTTTCACGATAGTTTCTGTAGGATTTCAGGAGAACTTAGTAACAGAACTCAGATGAACTTCCTATCTTTAAACATTTTTAGTTTTGCTAAGAGTACACGTGTCTTAAAACACACCAGAAGAAGGAATCATTCCCACTGGAATCTCATCACTACAGCATCCCTGACAGCACCTGCTTCCCTCCTGAGGTTTTTGGGAAAATAAAGCTCTATAAATGCACAGTCATCCTCCTCAAGTTGCTTCAGTATCCCACAAACCGTTAACATAATGTTCATACGCCATGATCTAGAAACACCACAGAGTCAAAGCAAAGAGAAGCAAGAGTTAACAGTAAGTCAAAGAAACCAGTGATGTTTAATCAGGATTTTTTTTAAAAACCTTTGTTTTCTTCAGTTTTAAAGACAGTTTTATTGAAATAGACACTGTCTTTTGAATGCAATAAAGATTTTTATTAGCAAACACATCTCTTTTCATACACACACAGGTAGAGAAGCCTCATCAAAGGCCCTCACACCAAGCACTAACTAAAGTTTTTTTCTACAACTGATAAAAAAGAAATACCAAAGATGGGAAAAAGAACTTTAAGCCTTCAAATAACACTGTGGTATATTTTAAAGTGTGTTATTGCCAGGCGTGGATAGCTCATGCCTGCAATCCCAGCACTTTGGGAAGTAGAGGCAAAAGGATTGCCTGAGCCCAGGGGTTCAAGGCCAGCCTGGGCAACTTGGTGAGATCTCTTCTCTACAATAAATCAAAAAATAAGCCAGGCATGGTGGCCTGTGCTTGCAGTTCCAGCTACTTGAAAGACTGAGGCGGAGGGATCACCTAAGCCCAGCTGGTTGAGGCTGCGGCAGCCAAGCGCATGCCACTGCACTCCAGAGAGAGCCTTTGACTCAAAAAATACTATTCTAATAGTATAATAATAAAGTATGCTATTTAGGCCAGGTGTGATGGCTCATGCCTACAATCCCAGCACTTTGGGAGGCTGAGGTGGGCAGATTACTTGACCCTAGAAATTTGAGATCATCCTGGACAACATGGCAAGACCTCGTCTCTACAAAATATTTTTTAAAAATTAGCTGGGTGTGGTGGCATAAGTCTGTAGTCCCAGCTACTCAGTAGGCTGAGGCAGAAGGATAGCTTGAGTCTAGGAGACCAAGGTTGCTGTTTGCTATGACCATGCCACTGCACTCTAGCCTGGGCAATAGAGTGAGACCCCAACTAAAACAAAAAAACAAAACAAAACAAAAAAACTATATTATTTAAAAGCAAAAAAGTTAGTTATCAATACTGTCATTCTCTCATTATCAATTAGACTACAAAAATCAGAGAAACCAAAAAGAAGGCCATGATTCTTCATCTTCTCTGATTTATATCTGCTTTTGTTGCTTCTAATAAAGCAACATTATGACATGCGATTAAGATACAAAGAAAACCATAAAGAAATACTCTTGCTGTTAATTAACCTAGAAATACAAACAACACAAAGAAAATTAAAAATAACCATTTGCAAACTAAAGAACAAGACAATCTTAAAAGAGGTTTGAAAAAGATTTGATCCTATAACACATATAAATGAAAACTAATTTTACACATTTTAATCACCAATTTAATACAAATACCTGATTTATACTTTTACACTAATGGGCTAAGTCCCAAGTTCCAAACTGTAGTTCACAGAACTCTACAGAGGGGTCTTTGGAAGGATAAGGTACCTTTGGAGAACAGTGTATAAATGACTGTAAACATACACTGATTGTCCACTAGCTCTCTTAAATAGAATTTCTGAAATATTTTTGTAGGAAATTATATATAAGAGTGTAAGTGATCAGATAATTTCTATTACAACATATAAATTCTGTTGAATGTGCAAAATGTAGTAGAAATAGAAGATAGAATGGGTGATTTATATTTTTAAAGTAAGTGCTACATTACAATCCAGTAAAAGTCCTTTAATCTTTTCATGAAACTTCTCTCTATACAAGTTGAAAAACATAATGCTTTCTGGTTCTTCTTCAAACCAAAACTTGTCAAATTCATAGACAAGATAACCTGCAGTTAAAGAAACACAGAACATATCATCCTCAATAGTGAAATCACATTCAAATCATATCATTTTTACAAAGTATATAATAATCCTTTAATCCCATATTAGGAAACAATAATCAAAAATAATCTTAAAGCTATCAGAAACCTGAGGAACTTCATAAGAAATATATTTGTATGTTCAAAATAAGCAAGTTTCAATAAAATATTTAGTGTACATTTGCTATCTGTCTGAAAATTCAACAAAACTTCCTCAGACTTGAAAAAGATACCTTTTCAAAAGTATCTTTCAAAGGTTACCCGAAGAATAGAAACACAAGATGAACAGAATAGTTTCCCCAGAAACCTCTGAAGCACAAAAATGAAAGTAATGAGGAAATGTTGGACAGGAATAAAGTACAGAAAAATTGTTTTCTAGCTGATGTCTAAATCTCAGAGTTATTTGTACTTGTTTAAATGAACTATCATCTTTTTTAAAAAACAATACTTCTACTCTAAACAGGCTTAATATTTTTGTTTTTCCATATTCTCATTACAGTAGCCAAATTAACCCCCAAAATGTTAAAAATTTCATAAAACTAAACATATTTTACACACAAACACACATATACACACACACATATTTATACACAGGTATAATTTTAAAAAATTGTCAGACAGGTAATGTGCCGATATGGTAACAAGGTTTGAGGGTAGCACATCTCACACATGCATGTGAACACTCAATTATTACACTTATGAACTGCAAAAGGATGGCACATATGTCAATTTAAATGTGAATTTAAAACCACCCCACATCCAAATGTCTGCTAAGTACATGGATAAACAATTGTGTGGCATATAACTAGTGTCAACAATTGAAATAAATGAGCTACTTTGTCCATTTTTAAAAATTTTTAATTAATAAGTAAAATAAAAGCCATGAATATATGTAACATCAAACCATGCAGAAAGAAACCAGACAAAAAAGAGTACATGATTCATGATTCCACTTAAACACAAGTCTAGAAAATAAATGCAAATTCATCTATAGTGACAAAAAGATTGTAGCTGCCTAGGATGGTCAGGGGAGGGACAAGGGGCATGGGTTACAAAGCAGCACATGGAAACTTCTGGAAACATGAAACATCAGCCTGGAACAAGCTGCTCAAGTTAGAGCACTCAGAACTTCTCGCCTCAGAGGAAGGTTGTTGGTCTATGATGTAAATCAGTGTCAGAGAAAGGCTGACTGAGACTGTGACAGCTAAGGTGATTGAATGAGAAAGCAAGAAACTGCAGGAAAAAATGATACCAAAATGTTAGGAAACTGGCAGGGCCATAAGACTTAGCAGAAGACTTATAAAGCTTTGCAAGAAATGATCAAAAAGAGCTGCTTCCATGAAGCACATATATTGTCCTTTTGACTCTAAAGCATTTGAAACACTTAGATTCAATAGAAATTACCACACAAATTTATAAACTGCAAATTCCCTGCACACTTCTACTTCAGGTGTTAAAAATAAGAAAACCAGCCTGTTGTAGTGGTTCATGCCTGTAATCCCAGCACTTTGAGAGGTCAAGGTGAGTGGATTACTTCAGCCCAGGAGTTTGAGAACAGCCTAGGCAACACAGCGAGACCTAGTCTCTACAAAAATAATCATACATTAGCTGAGTGTAATGGTGTGCGTGTAGTTCTGGGTACTCAGGAGGCTGAAGTGGGAGGATCACCTGAGCCTAGGAAGTTGAGGCTACAGTAAGCCATGATCATGCCACTACACTTCAGGCTGGGCAGCAGAGCAAAACTTTGATTTAAAAAGAAAAGAAAAGAAAAGAAAAGAAACAATAGGAAAGAGAATTAATTGTAGACCAGCATGATGGATCTTACAGGGGTGACAAAAATGTTCTAAAACTGGATTATGATAGTAGCGACACAACTTAGCAAGTTTACCAAAACTCATTCAAAGGTACACTTAACATGGGTAAATTTTATGGTCTATAAATCACACCTCAAAATAGTTGTTAATGAGGTATAACATTTTTGTTATAAAAACTTGGTATGTTATTATTATTTTTGGAACCACCAAGCCAGAAGTCCAGCTAAAACTGCACCCCTAAAAATCCAGAATGGAGGCAAGCTGGACAGGACTATTTGGAAGACAGAGGTCCCAAATCTCTGAGGCCTCCTGGTAGACTAGTGGTCAGTGACTTCCCAGGCTGACAGTGGACACCTGCTCACAGTTGAAATGTCCAAGACGACAGTGGGGCTAAGAAGCTAAGTGATCACTGTTTCTAGCCTTTCCTAGAGAGAACACATGTTTTAAAAAAGGCAGGGAGATAAAGGGAGGAGGAGGGAGATGAGGATAGACTGCAGGGAAATAAAAACGTGAACGCTAATTTTACAGTTCTTTCTTCTGGAGAGAAACTACGACCTTGGAACTGGTTTGTGTAAACTAATTGGGCTCACTCCAACAAAAAAAGTATGTTCAAGACAAGGTTTCAAATGATCATCCTAGTTAGACTAGGTTCCTTCTACAAGAAAAACAGAACCTAAATCAGAAACTTCCAACAGTAATGTGCTTGAAAATTGATTTTTTGGTGAAACTTCTGCTTCAAAGGATGTGCACATGTGTATATGTGCATGTAAATGTCTCAAGAAAATTGGAACCATAAGTGTCACTGCTTCTAGGATGATCTGCAGCTCTTCTAGAACTGAATGGACACACAGTGATTTCTCTCCCTCAGGTATACATTCGAATACCTGTCCTTGAAAGCGGTCAACGGAGGTGTTGGTGTGAGGGCACTGGGCCAACAGCATCCACGGACCCCTGTGTCACCACTCTTTCGGGAAAATCCCAGGGAAGGTCACTTTGCACTGCCTGCCTACCCGCCATCCTCCTGTATGTACTGAAACATAGTAACCTGCCTAATTGTTTGGGGGAGTTTTTTGATTGCTTCTTTTTATATTTATGTTCACCAGGCAGCACTAAACAGGGGACATATTTCATTAGAAAAAACAAATGTGAGAGGCCAAACCCCAGCAGCGACACTCTGGCATGATCAGGGAAGGCATCTCAAGCCTGCACGGGGTCTTCAGCCCATGCAGGAAGAGACATCCATGCTGGTGTCTGAAGCCTGTCCCTCCATCTGAAAACATTTTCGTGGACTCCTGTTCTGTGTAACCACCCCCATGTGATCCTTTATCCTTATCCATTTGGGGGGGGAAAGGGCCAGGACATACAGGGAGGCTAAAGGTTGAGGCTGGGTTGAAGGCATACATGTGTCACCATTAGTATACAGAGGGCTTTCCAAGCAGGGAACTAGATGAGTTCATTTAGGAGAAAACGAGGGCTAAAGAGAGAAGACCCAGGGCTGGACTTTTAGGTGCTCTGGCATTTAGCCAGGCAGCAGATATGTATAGGGATTCCTGCAGGCAGGGGAAAAGTCGGGGAGTGTGGCATCAAAAAAGTCTGAGAGCCAGGCTCAGTGGTTCAGCCTGCAATCCCAGCACTCTGGGAGGCCAAGGCCAGTAGATTGCCTGAGTCCTCATCTCTACAATAACTAAAAAATTAGCTGGGCATGGTAGTGCTCGCCTATAGTTCTGGCTACTTGGAAGGCTGAAGCCAAAGGATCACTGGAGCCCAGCAGGTCGACGCTGGCGTGGCCATGAGCATGTTAGTGCACTCCAGCCTGGGTGACAGAGTGAGACTCCAACTCAAAAAAAGAAAAAAAAGGAAAGCACGATAACATTTCAACAACAAATGTGTGGTCATGTGCCTAGTGCTGACCCAAGGATTCAATAACATGAAGAAAAACCATGGCAATTGTATTAAGCAACAAAAACGGTTGTTGGTGTCTGAAAATATCAGTGTCAGCAGAGCAGTGGAGAGGGAAACCAAATTGGAGTTACACAAAATTGGAGGCGAAGAAATGAAAAGAGCACTATTCTAAACGTTTCCTGACGAAGGGGGGCAGAAATGTGGAGAGGTCATTGGAGGTGGACACTGCACCCAGGGAAAGTTTAGGCTTCCTTTTGAAGATGCTCCTCCATGAACGAAGAAACTTTGCCTTATTCTCTGCCATATCCCCAGGGGCCAAGAACAGCACCCGACGCACAGCAAGTGAATAATGAGTGGGAGATACAGAGACAGTCTGAAGTCTGATAGAAATCTTCCAACAGAGAAAGAAAGAGTAATAATGGAGAGGGACATGATCACTGACGAGTCAAGAGCAAGCAGAATACATCTGAGCGACTAAAAGCAGACTGGTAGGCCTCAACTTAGACTGGGGGTGGGAGGGGGAGAGTGGGGAGACTGGTTTGTGGAAAAAGGTGAGTCTGCACAGGTTGCCAAGGCTCAGATTCTGCAAGGCCTTGTAATGGGGACCCTTTGAAGGATTTTTGGCAGTGGAGTAACATGGCAGATTTCATTGTAAATAACTATAGCTGTGATGTGGATAAGAAATATTAGAGTGTCACCACACGGTGACAACTGAAAGCTACTACAGTAACCTAGTGACAAAGGCCTGATACCGTGTAGTTACCATAGGGATGGAAAGAAGCAGACAAATGCAAGAGAAATGTAGGATGGAGACAAAACCAGAATTAGGGATTAAGTAAAGGCAGGAGAGGTTGGAGGGCAGACAGACAGCTACAACACTTTCGACAAAGGAGATGAAGAAGTGATGATGTGGCCATTTATTATCTAAGTAGCTTCTTATATCCTACCAACAAGCAAATGACATTCTAAAGACACAAAAAGGGACAAGAAAAGCAGGGTGTGGAGATAAGCTGGATTTCTTCTTAAAAAGAAGAAGCAAAGAATTTTAAACTTTAGAATTCTTTGCTTCTAAATAATAGCTTCAGAAGATGGATTCATTCAATTAAACCTTCAGTGTTCAAATATCACAGCCAAAGAGGAATGGAACAGGGACAGTAAGGATGACTTTAGGAACAGTTAAGTATCCCCAGCCTACCACAAGAGAACTTGGCCTTCAAATAAAGGAGTGAAAATTCCTCCCAATCACATTTCCTTACAAGAGTAACAGAATAATCTGCAAATGGTCTGTGCTTGACTCCACAGTACTCATTAACCAATATTCAAGAGGGAAAATTCACTTTGTAGTTAACTGGGAAATGAATGCCCATAAAAAACTACATGAATCCTAAATTTGCCTACATCTTAAAAATTGCTTCATTAAATTGTTTTATCCACAAATATAAAAACTGAAGCACAAAATACTCTTGGGACCTATCTTCCATTCTTTTCCTATTTTTCAAAGATCCTAAATTATAAAATGATATAAGCATAACATACACTTCATCGAGGTATTAGATTAAAATACATATAAGAATTCTAGAAAGATGTAGTTTTAACTCATTTTAATACTCACAATAAAACTGATGAAAATGTTCCATTGTTGGAATTCCAGGAACAAAGTTGTAGAGATGAAACTTCAAGGCTTCACTCTTAAGTAAGCTATAAGCCATCTCTGTAAGATTGATTCCAACTATTGCATAAGAATACCTATGTCAGAAACATTATCAGTTATACCAGCTACCCAAATCACTCCTAAAATAAATTTAAAATTATATAAAGAATTAGTAAAAAGTGGCTCTTTCACTTCTAACACAATAGGGATTTTGTGATCACCTATACATAGTAAGAAAAATAAGCAAGAATGGATCTCAAAATGCTGCTTTTAAAGGCTGCTGATTTCCTAGATAGAATCTAAGAAGTAAAAAACTAAAATTCCTTTTCAAAAAGGAGGGGGTCAGAGACAGGTCTATATACCAAATCACATTGATTTCTAAAATACAACGGATAATCTGATAACTTCTTCTCCACTTAAGGATATTTGTTTTTATGATCTAACAATGTTACTAGGTTTTCTCCAAAGATTACATAACATCAGAATATTAAAAAAGACTTCGATTTGCATTTCACTTTACAATTCTCAAAGCTTTTCCCATTTTCCTATTCCTTCTTCAAAGCTATATCCTAGTCCTATTTTCAAATACATTTCTCGAAAAGATTTTATAAAGGCCCTTAACTCCATTTTATAGATTAACTATATCTTGTGATAAAAATATGCTGAAATACATACAAAATTGGTTTATGATCACATTTTTCATTAAAAGTAATATACCATGTAATGTCCTTTATAAAGTTCTTATTAATGAAAGCTTCTCATTTTAAGAAATATTTTGACATATCTTCTAATTTATCTAATCACCTAATCATCTTCAATGCAAGAGACTGCAGTTTCTTTAATATATCCAGCTTACCCTAATTTTGGATGATTTGAACGAGAAAGAATCTGATGAGCTTCACTGGTGTAATTTTCACTGAAATACCTTTAAAAGTTTAAGAGAAATAGTCAGATGTACATATGTCATTCAAATTTAAAATATCTGGAACAAGTTTAAAAAGCCACTATCAAAATGGCAGTCCTAGTACAGCTACCATCATTCCAATCTTTATCTCAAATCATTTCAGATGACTCTCCTTCAAAATTTCACCACAAACTACCAAGTCTACCTAGTCTAGCACATAGGTCCAAGACTGCAAAGTACTTTAACAAATAGATCATCTAAAAAAAGGTTTAGTACCTAATAAAAAAAAAAAAGAAAACTTTAGAGTTCTTTTTGTTTATTTGCTTGGTCTATTTCTATAAAAGTGTCCATATGTACCTGTTAGAACACTCTTTCTTACACTTGGTTTTATTCCTTCTACTACAATGTAAGTCTGTATTGTTTAATGCCATTTTCAGTGCATCTGAGGAGAGTCAAAAACCTTCCTTTTGCACCAAAAAACCCTCTGGATCAGTGGTATAACTAAAACACTGGCCATAAAACAGAAGTATCAGTAGGTATAAGAAAAATGTGTGTAAAGCTATCAGTCTGTAGGTTCACACATCCTTTTGGCCTGTACTAAAATAAACTCCTTGAGTTCTTTAAAGACCAAATCTGTTCAGCCTTTGGATCATCTTAAAATGGTACACACACACACACACACACACACACACACACACACACAAGACTGGATGTTGACATGGGGTAAGTAGAATAAAAAATAAAAGTCCATGGTTTATTTAAGTTTTAGAGAGCACAATCACTGAATTCTTCATTAAGCATAGAAATTTCTAATCAAATCTTTCACCTCTATTTGTTTTTCTACAGAATAATAATACTTCCATTTTTTTCCCCACTAGGTCTGATTTTCAACCCATTATACTGTTAAGTTAGAAGTCCATGAATGATCATTTATGAATAAAGGTGGGGGTCTATGAACGACCTTAAATTATGCACAGGTTTTTCTGTGTATACATTTTGCGCGGAGAGTCCATACAAAACTTTTATCAGATTCTCAAAGGAATCTATAAACCTCAAAACAGTAAAAAAAAGCTGGGCTCAGTGGCTCAGCCTGTAATCCCGTGCCTTTCGGAGGCTGAGGTGAGTGGATTACCTGAGCCTGCAGGTTCGAGACCCGC